TTGAGGGACTGGAAGGGGCTCCAAGGTCTCCCTGGAGCCTTCTCTTCTCCAGGCTGAACCCCCCCAACTCTCTCAGCCCCCCCTCCCAGCAGAGGGGCTCCAGCCCTCCCAGCATCTCTGTGGCCTCCTCTGGCCCCATCCAACAGCTCCATGTCCTAAGCATCCTCTGGCTGGTGGCCACTGGGTTTTGATCCAGGACATGATGTCAGGTCTCAGCTTCAGAGCTTGTGCCACCTTACTTACCGCACAGTTTGGAGTCCCCGGGTAGCCCACTGTCCCCCAGCGGTAGCCCCCATCTCCCCCCATGGCCCCCACTGCCTCCTCCTCACCCCGATGGCTCTCCTGCAGGTGCTGAAGGGACATGATGACCACGTCATCACCTGCCTGCAGTTCTGCGGCAACCGGATTGTCAGCGGCTCCGACGACAACACCCTCAAGGTCTGGTCGGCGGTCACCGGGGAGGTGAGCTCGGGGCTGGTGGCCACGGGGCCTGTGGGAGAGGGGTTATCTCCTGGGAGGGTGCAGCTGGGGAATGGATCAGAGTCCCAGCTGGGCAGGGACCTCTGGAGACCCCCCAGTGCAACCCCCTGACAGAGCAGGGTCACCCAGAGCAGTGGGACAGGAACGTGTCCAGGTGGGGTTTGAATGTCTCCAGAGAAGGAGACACCACCACCTCTCTGGGCAGCCTCTGCCAGGGCTCCATCATCCTCAAAGGGAAGTTTTCCTTATTTTCTGCATCCCAGTTTGTGCCCGTTGCCCCTTGTCCTGTCCCCGGGCACCACTGGGAAGAGTCTGGCCCCATCCTCTTGACCCCCACCCTTTAGCTCTCACTCAGCATCCATGAGATCCCCTCTCAGTCTGCTCTTCTCCAGCTGAACAGCCCCAGGGGGGGCGAGGGGCCGGGTGGGCCTGGCACAGCGAGTGCTCGTTATCATGGGGGGGGTCTCTGTGGGGGCTGAGTGTCTGTGGGGGGTGGGTTTTGTGACCCGAAGAGCTCCGTGGACCCCTCCCCCGGGGGAATCCCGCGCGTGGCCTCTCCTTGTGGCGGCCCTTCCCGACCCGTGTCTGGTCCCCCCCAGTGTGTGCAGACCCTGGTGGGACACACGGGGGGCGTCTGGTCCTCCCAGATGAGGGACAGCGTCGTCATCAGCGGCTCCACTGACCGGACGCTGAAGGTGTGGAACGCGGACACGGGGGAGTGCGTGCACACGCTCTACGGGCACACCTCCACCGTGCGCTGCATGCACCTCCACGGAAACAGGTACGGGGGGCTCGGGGAGCCTTCGGGGACCCTCTGCGCTTGGGACGGGGCTGGGGGTGCTGCAGCAGCCTGCTCTGCACCCCAGAACTGGGCATGGGGGGCTGTGGGAGCCTTCAGGGCTGCTCTGTTCCCTGGGATGGAGCGGGAGGGGCTGGCAGAGCCTTCGGGGACCCTCTGCACCCAGGATGGGGCTGGGAGGCTGGAGGAGCCTTCGGGGACCCTCTGTGCCTGGGACGGGGACAGGGGGGCTGTGGGAGCCTTCGGGGCTGCTCTGCTCCCCAGGAAGGGGCAGGAGGAGCTGCAGGAGCCTTCAGGACCTGCCCTGCCCCCTGGGACAGGGCTGTAGGAGCCTTCAGGACCTGCTCTGTTCCCTGGGATGGGGCAGGAGGGGCTGTAGGAGCCTTTGGGGACCCTCTGTGGTTGGGACAGGGCCAGGGGGGCTGTGGGAGCCTTCGGGGCTGCTCTGCTCCCCAGGAAGGGGCAGGAGGAGCTGCAGGAGCCTTTGGGACATGCTCTGCACCCCAAAACGGGGCAGGAGGGGCTGCAGGAACCTTTGGGGCTGGAGCAGCCTGTGGTGTGGGACCCAGGGCAGTGAGGTGCAGAGCTGGTCAGGGCTTGGGCTGAGCTGTAGCTGGAGATGCTGCGTGGGAAGAGGGGCTGCCCCCTGGGGAATCCCAGCCTGGCAGGGGTGGGCAGGGACCTCTGGAGACCCCCCAGTCCCACCCCCTGCCAGAGCAGGGTCACCCAGAGCAGGTCCCACAGGAAGGCTTGAATGTCTCCAGAGAAGGAGACCCCACCACCTCCCTGGGCAGCCTCTGCCAGGGCTCTGCCACCCTTGTGTTGGGCTGTGGTGCTTCCTGGGGGCCGGGTGGTCCCGGGGTGGTCCCGGGGCCGGGGTGGTGCCCAGGGTCCGGGGGTCTGCAGGCAGTGCCCTCCCGCAGGGTGGTGAGCGGCTCGCGGGACGCCACGCTGCGGCTGTGGGACATCGAGACGGGGCAGTGCCTGCACGTGCTGATGGGGCACGTGGCGGCCGTGCGCTGCGTGCAGTACGACGGGCACAAGGTGGTGAGCGGCGCCTACGACTACACCGTCAAGGTGTGGGACCCCGAGAGCGAGAGCTGCACCCACACCCTGCAGGGACACACCAACCGCGTCTACTCCCTGCAGGTACGGCCCCGACCCCCTGGGACACGGGGACACACGGGACATGGCCCTGCAGGTGGGACCCCAGCCCCTTGTCCCCAACCTTGGGACACGGGGACACACGGGACATGGCCCTGCAGGTGGGACCCCAGCCCCTTGTCCCCCCCCTCGGGACACGGGGACACATGGGCCATGTCCCTGCAGGTGGGGACCCCCCCATCCTCCCCCCAACCTTGGGACACGGGGACACATGGGCCATGGCTGGTCCCTGCAGGTGGAACCCCCTGTCCTCCCCTTGGGACACGGGGACACACGGGACAGTCCCCGCAGGTGGGACCCCAGCCCCTTGTCCCCCACCTTGGGACACAGAGACACACGGTCCATGTCCCTGCAGGTGGAACCCCCCATCCCCCCCCAGTCTTGGGACACAGGGACACATGGGCCACGGCTGGTCCCTGCAGGTGGGACCCCAGCCCCTTGTCCCCTCCCCCCGGGACACAGACATGGGCCACGGCTGGTCCCTGCTGGTAGGACCCCCTGTCCCCCCCCATGGACACAGGGGCACACTGGCCATGTCCCTGTGGGTGGGTCCCCGACCCCCCACGCACCCCCTGGCTCTTTCCTGGGGGGGAGGT